CCGGGGCTGCCCGCGGCGTGGCGTGCCGCTGCTGGTGCCATCGCAGCAGCTCAGCGCCCATCACGCCGGCGTGGCATCACCCTGGTTTTGTCTTGTACGAGCCAGGTGGAGCACCCACGAGCAGCAAAATGAGGTGGCGACTCGTGCACGTGCAGCCCGTTGGTGTGCAAGCGCACGCCCGTGCGCAATGAACGCCCCGCGGGCAACGCCTGCGCTGCCTCTCCCTCTCCGAGCAGCGTGGTCGGCGGTGGTTCCAGCCCAATTTTGTCAGCCCGACGCTTCTAAAAGTGTCGGGGCGATGGCGAGGGGCAGATGAGGTGGTCTCGTGTCTGGCTCGCCGAGACCGCTGTCATGGGGGCTTTGCCATGCTAATGGATAATTAGGTAGGCAGACAGAGTGACAAGGACCCAGATGGATGGATGGATGCCACGAGGATCTGGTGACAGATAAATAGGCAGATGCTAATGGGCACTGCAAACAACAGCTTAGACTCCTGCTAATTCCCACTGTAATTTTTAAGCTCTCTCCAACCTCCCCCCTTTTTTTCCCCTCTCTCCCTCTGGTGCTGAGCCCTTCCGCGCGCATCCATCACTTCTTTTTTTTTTTTTCTTTCTTTTTTTTTTTTTTCACAGAATAGCACAAATGGTTCGTAGGAGCTCTGAGGGATAATGAGGAATAGTGAGGCGAGGTGGGCGATGAGCGGGGGCTTGGGGAGGTGCAACCATGGGCAGACCCACGGAGACCCAGCCGTGCCCCGGGACTGGCCAGAGCCAAGCTCCGGGCACCTCTGTGCCTCCTTCCCTCTCTTCCCACCTCCCAAACGCTGATTTTATGTAAGTTGCCATCGCTTCCAATTAAAAAAAAATTTAAAAAAATAGAAAGAAGAGGTTTGTCCCTTTTCTTCCACCATGGGGATGGGAAGAAAATTGTGAATGGAGGGGAGGAGGCCAAGGTGGATTAGAGCCGGAGAGACGCGGCCAAGCAGGCGGCGGAGACAAAAGAAAGCATCTTCGCTTGTTTTCCCTTGCCGCGGGGAATCCACGTGGCATTTGCGGGAAGGCGGGGAGAGCGGGATGGGGAGATAAATCCTGCTGGAAGGCTTTCGGCGGCACCCGCGCCGCGCGCGCGAGATTTATGGCCCTGCAGCTCGCAGCCGGCCGCCTATGGGTGCTCCTGGCCTGCCCCGTCGCACCGAGCTCGTTAGCCACAGCCCCGGCTAACGAGCTAATGGGTTTGGCGGCGGGGATATGGGGATGCTCATCAACTTTGGGTCTTCCCAGGGTGGCAGGGACCTCGCAGCCACCGTTGCCACCCCTATGTCCCAACTCCGTGGTCACCCAGCACCCAACGCCGCCCTCCTCCTCTATCTCCGAGCTCCCCATCTCCTTTTTTTCCCCACCTCTCCCCCAATTTGTCTGCCAGCCACCGGCCCCTCCATTCTCTGCTCCTTCTGCCAGTCTGCCTCTTTCCCCTCATTGTTTGGCATTGTCCTTCCCATAGTTAGCTCCATCACCGCCTTCTTCCCTCGCTGCTCTAAAGATTTCCCTCCTCTCTCCCTCTCTCCCTTTCCTGGCTTCTTTTCCCCCCCCCTCCAGTTTCTTTCCTCCCCTCTGCCCTCCCAGGAGGGGTCTGCAGGACGGTGGCAGTGGGGACAAACACCGCAGGGCTCCCTCGGTCCCATCCTCAAGGGTACAAAACGCAGCCAGGGAGATGCCACCGGTGTCCCCTGCACCTCGGGCGAGAGCCAGCAGGAGAGGGCTGGGACGAGGCAGAGCGCAGGGCACCCACAGCAAGCAGGAGCCAGCGGAGAGCAGAAAACCCAATTTCTCCCTTATTTCACCCAGAATCAGTGCTGGAGGGGGGGGGGATTGAGGATGGGGAAGGGCCCCTCCATGCGCGTGGCTGCGCGCGCAGCAGCCGGTGCTGGTGGCAGCCGCTCAGGTGGCCGCATCCTGCGCCCGCTATGTAGGTCAGGGCTGGGGGGGGGCGCGGGGGCTCCAGCCCGGGGCCGCCCCTCCTGCTGGGCAGCGGTGCCAGCTTGGATTAAACCCCTGGATGCCTCCCACCGACGCCGGGGGAGCGGGGAGGACGGCGCGGGTCCTGGCTTTGCAGAGCTGCTCCCGGGGGCGAAGAGCTGAAAAATTCTCGACGGCGCCTGAAATAGCCAAGTTTTGCCCCAGCTTTGCGTCCTGGCCCTCGCCGCTGGTGGCGAGCTGCTGGGGCGTAAACGAAGGAGCCCTAACGAGCAGCGGTGATGGGCAACTGATTCGGCGTGCTCTGCTCGATGCTCCCAGAGCTCGGCACCATCCAGCACCACCCCGAGCAGCCCGGGCATGGTGCTCATGGACACCTACACCTGGGCTACCTGGAGACATGCACATAACGCATCTATTCGGGGTGACACCCTACACATCCACATATCATTTATTTATGGGTGTGTAACCTCGGTCCTTGTCTTGGTTTTTGGTGGGAAGCTGCTTGCCACCACGATTAAAAGTTTGCCCGAAAATGACCCCGGTGCAAACACTCCGATTTTAGAAGACGTCCACCCAAGTTTTCAGCAACTTGTTCGGAAAGCGCCCGCGGGCTTTTCTGACAAGCTCCCACAGGTTTTTCCCGGTTTCTTTCTTTCGCTTTATGAGGTAAGTGAAAAAAAAAAAAAAAAAAAGGAGCATTTTCCTTATATAGATAAATATATGCATAAAAATATTCCAGGGATTTTTTTTTTTCCCTGCTCAGATCCCTGCTTGCAAGAGTTTTCCAGCCTCTGCACCTCGCCCTAGTTGTGTGAACGAGGACCCAGCAGCTGTGGGTCAGGGTGGCTGGACTGAAGGAAGTTAGAAATATGGGAATGATAAAACCTTTAATTGCTAGTGGGAAAAAAAAATATCATTTTCTGGACATAGATGCTGAAAACACATTCAGTTTTTGTTTATTTTCCTTCTAAGCACAAAATACCCCAGCAGAAATCCCCACACAGCAGCGGGGGCAGCAGGCGGGTACCAGCAGCACCCCACGACCCTACAGCCCATGACTTAGGCGGCACGAAGAAAACCCGCTAAGAGCAACGAACGGATCCGAGAGGAAACAACCCGGCAACTGGGGGGCATGGATTTCGTCTCGATTCCCCACTGCAGCCACACCACCTGCCAAAAACCCGCTGGCCATAGCGGCGACACCGCCCGCATCCCTCTACGACCTCATGGCTTTTTTTTGGGGTGAAACCCGCGGGGATCGCGCTCAACCCGCGGGGCACGACCGGGACAGGCGGGCGGCGTGCCGAGGACAGCCAGAACTCGGCACGGGCGCGGGAAGCGGGGGGCGAGGGCACGTCCTAGACGCGGCGTTTCATTAGGATGCAGGAGCGGTGCCGGGGGTGCAAAAGCGGAGGGGGAAGGGTTAAGGGGCGGCGGGAGAGAGGGGCGAGAAGAAAGCCCGAAGAAAAGAAGGGACCTCGTCGCACCGGCGGGGCTTGATGGCTTAATTACCATATTCAAATCTAATTAATTCCCCTTTGCATAAAAAGGCCACGGCGGGCGTGGGACCAGCCTTGCAGATGGCGTCTCATGCTCAGCACCATTTTGGGGCCGCCGGCCATCTTAGAGCGAGGCGGAGGACGGCTTCGCCCGCGGCGCCGAGCATCTGCCGGGGGCACCCGCCGGGCACGGGGCCGCCGCGGGTGCCGGCGCCAAAGGGGCCCCCGAGCAGCCCCCTCTTCTCCATCCTTCACGCTGGGTTGGGGGAGAAGGGGGTGTTTAAATAAAGGGATGGAGGAAAAAGGGACGGGGAGGGGGGTCGGAGCCATGGGTGGTGTCGTTTGGTGGGGTGGCGTGCCTGGTGCCCTGCTCCTCGCCCTGTGTGGGGCTCCCCCTCCAGCCCCACATCCCGGGGTCCAGATGGGGTGGTGCTGGCTGGAGATTGCCCAAAAATGTAGGGTTTACTGGGGGGATTTTGCTCGTGCGCATCTCCCCGGGACTGCTGCAAAAACCTCCCACAACCAGTTGTTTTGGGGTGGGAATGAGGGAAAACACTCCTCATCTCCCCAATGTGCAGATGGGGGAGAGCTGAAGCACGAGGCCAGGTCGGGAGCTCCCAAATCCCAGAAACCAAGACCAGGGAGGGGAAAAATCCCTCTGGGAGCACAGGTGAGCCAGCAGCACCCGTGCCGGGCACGGTGCCGGGCACGGTGTCGGGCACGGTGCCGGGCGCACGGGGGCTCGCTCTGGGAAAGGTGCGAGTTTATTTCTCTGATGCCTCGGACAGCTCTGCTGGCACGTGCGAAACCCTGAGCCGCGGGGGCTGTGGGTTTTTCCCTCGATTAACCCCCAAGGCTGCGTTCAGCCCCGCTGCCGAACGGCTGCGCTCCTCCCCGCCCCCTTCCCCTGCGCACTCGCAGGCTGGGATGCGAAGGTTACCCAAAAAAATGGGAGACCTGGAGGAGCTGGAAGGAGCTCGCGTGGCTGAACCCAATGTCTGCCAGCGGGAAAAACGTCTGCAGGGAGGGTCGGATGGGGCAGAGCAGGAGGAACTGCGGGTTTCGGGGGGGAAGATGCAACCCCAGCACGAGGTGGTGGAGGGAAGAGTCCCCGTTCTGCTGTTTGCCCACAGAAAATGATGTTTTGAGTCATATAGGAAAGATTGAAGATGTGCGTTAAAAAGGGAAAGAGGGGAAAAACATTAACCAGTCTTCCACCAGCTTTCAGTGCAAAGCTGAATATTTTCAAAAGGGTATTTAAATGAGGATGCAAGCATTTTTTTTTCCCCCCTAAAGCATGGAGAAAAAGGGACCACGAGCCCAGCACCTTGCATCCCGGCCATCGCAGCCCCCTGACCACGAGGAGCAGCCCCCACCACGCTCCCCTGCTCCCCCCCAGATCCCCGGCTGCAGAGAGCCCTGGGGAAGGTTTTACCCATCAGAGCCGGCTTTGGGGTTTGGATACAGCAGAAAACCCCGTGCCGGCTGGATGGGGGAGAGGAAAGAAGGAAAATCGGAAACTTACCGAATCCACAGGGGGTGATGGGGTCTTGAGGATCCTTGGGGGAGCGCAGGTCCCGTGCTCAGCTCCACGCATGTTGTGCTTGTGGAGGAGGGATGCCACCACGCCAGCCCGGCCCCAAAAGCCAGGGACAACTTTACCGCTGCAAACCCACAGCAGGAGCAGCCTCCTCCGGGCTGGAAAGCTCAGTCCTAACCCCAGGTCCTGGTGGAGCTCCTCTTCCCTTCGATTTCCAGGGTGAGGGTGCTGCGAGGTGGTCGTCTCCCCACTGCCCTGCGCTGGCACGGCTTCTCCTTGTCCCTGTCCCCGTCCCCTTTGGTGGGTGCTGCCAAAACCACGCTGATCGAGGCGATACCGGGATTTTTCCTCTGAAAAAAAAATAATAAAAGGGGCAATGCATGAAGTGCTGCGAGGATGGTCACCGTAGGAGCTGGAAGCTCGGTTTTCCTTCTAGTTACTGCACAAGGAAAGGAACGGTGGGGATGGACAGAGGGGACACGTCACAGCCAACCCTATAAGTGGTGGTCCCGGGGTCTGCGGGACCCCACTGACCCAAATTGGTGACTGCAGCTGGGGGCATGGACACCCCACGGCCACCTCCAGCACATCCCTCTCACACTGCTCAGCACAGAGCCCTCCGAAACAGCCCAGCCGATGCGCAGGGCAAGCCCACGTGGCTAAGACGATGATTTAGGGAAATGGTGAAGGTTCCTGAGCCCGTGTGCTGCTGGGGGTCCCCGTACCCGACCCTGCCTCCACCAGCCCCGAGCTTCTCCCAGCACACAGCACCGTGAGCAGGATCTGCCTCGTGTTGCCCACCAAAATGTTGCTTTGGCCTCTTCGCTGGGGTTTAAGGGGAGGGTTGGTTGGCTCCATCACCCCAAAGATCACACCCAGAGCAAGTCCCACATCCCACTTGTGCAGATACAGGACCTCGGCAGGGCAGGAGCCGGGTGAGGAGGGGAGCAGGAATGCGTGGAAGCACCGGGTGATGCCCAGGCAGGGAGTTTTATGGCCATACGGGAGGATTTTCCCCCCTGCATGACACACAACCAGCTGCAGGAGCTTGTTCCTGAAGGGTGCTGGAGAGGCTGAGGGTCCAAGCAGCTTCTCCAAGGGATTATGAAGCTGTTGGGGTCCTCCAGGCTCTGCGTTGGGTGATGGGGACAAATCCCCTCCAGACCTGCCCTTGGTTGTCTATCCCACCCCCAGCACCCGCTGCCAGTGATGGGATGCCTCGTTCTGCCCCAAATCAGCCTTTTTATGCCCCCCAAATCCCTTCTCCGGGTTGGGTTTGGAGGTGAGGGCTTCACCCCTCAGTCCCCAGCACCCATTTCCACCCTGCCCATGGGCAACATCTTTGGGACCAATTCCTTCACACCCCAAAACTCAACCCCTCCAGCACCCCTTGGCCACTGCCCCTTTTCCTACAGCCCCCACGATGTCCGGTGGAACGCTCCGACCCCAAAAACACACAACATCGGCTTTCCCCACCCAAGGGAACAGGTTGGCTCTGCTGCCCCAGACGGGGCGGCAGGAGCTGGAAAGGGGGGGGGGACCGGGGGGGCCAGGGACGCCCAAGGCGACGGAGGGCTCAGACACAATGCTGCCATTCACGGGGCCGCGCCGTGGGTCCCGGCCCTTCCTGCCCAGACACAATAGGGGCGGCCCCCGCGCGCCACTTGTGTGCATTGTGCGCCCGGCAGCCCCCCACCCCACCCCCCCCACCCCCGCCCCTCCTTTCTGTCCCCCATCGGATAATGGATCCGCTTTGTGTGCTTGGCTGGACAAGGACTTTGTTTCGGAGAAAGAAACTGTGTTTGTCTGTCAGAAGAGATCGGCCAAGAAAGGGACGGGGAGGAGCGGTGGCTGCAGCGGGGCAGCGTCCCTCGCCGCTCCCCGCAGCATTGGCCTTGCGCGGCCCCCGCTCCGGCATCCAAAATCCCAACGGGGTTGGGGGAAAAAAGTCCTCGATGGGAAGTTTGCTCGGTCCCATCGTGTAAACCCCGTGCCCCGGTGAGCATCCTCTGAACCCCGTGCCAAACCAGCAGCCATAAAAACAGAGCCACGACGGAGGGTCCGCATCCCCCCCTCCCCGGGCATCCCCAGACACCGTTCCTCGGGATGGGCTCAGCAAAACCTTTCGGGGATTATTTCTCCCCCTGCCTCGTTCCGGCAGCGTGCAGGAAGGCAGATGTGATAATCCCCGGCTTCATCAGCGCCGGAGCCGCAAAGAGGAGGATTAATAAGGCTGGAATTTGGGCATCCCAAAACGGGTCCGTTTTGGGGTTGTTTTTTTTTTTTGCAGACATCTCCGACTGCAGCACCTCGGGAGGGGAAAGGCAGCCCTGGCACCGTCCCATGGGCTGCGATTCACGCGGCGCTGCCACGTGGGAGCTGCAAACCTGGATTATTTCCTGCTAAACCAATTCAGGAAAACCGCTCGCGTTTATCCCATGGGCTGGGGTAGTTCCTTTAATTGCTGAAATCCGGATTTTCAAAAGCGCGCCTGCGCAAACACCGATATATGGCGAAGAGGTGGAATTTGGTTCCCCCCAAAATTTTAGCCTCGAAATTTAAAAGAGGGGACCGAGACGGGGACATCAGGAAATCCCAAATCCCACCTCACCATGGGTCACCCCGGCCGTGCTCCATCAGCAACTTTCTGTAGGGTGGTGAGAGCGGAGGCAGCACCGGGGCTGCCCCATCCCGTGCCCACCAGCACCCACGGGCGACAATTTGGGGTGACAGCAGCAATTTGGGGCTGCAACCGATGCACTGGAGGCAGCAGGTCCCTCTTCCCTGCTATATTTTACTCTGCGGGGATTTGGGGATTTGGGGTCCCTGCATCTTTATGGCACCACCAGTGGGCACCCCAAAAACTCAGCCTGGGCACCGCGGGATGGAGAAGGGGAAAGCGGCCGGCCGGGCGCGGTGATTAGGGTGGCCTGGGGAGTAATTATCTCATTGGGCAACTAATACCCTTTCAGCGGGAGCGGGGTGGGGAAGTATTGTTCGGGCTTAGGGATTACATCAACCCGGCTGGAGCAGACAATGTGCTCCCCCTGGGAAGAGGCAGCTCAGCCCCAGGGGGAGAGGAGGGAGGCAGGGGCTGAAGCTGTCTCAATTAGCGAGTGGCCGGCGAGGAAGAGGGTGGTGGGAGCGCATGGGGGGGGACGTGGGGAGTTTGGGGGGGGGGAGCGAGAGCATCCTTAACCCTTTGTGCTCGGCCCTTCAGCCCTGCAGGGGGGCTGGATGCGCCCCTCAGCCCTGCGATGCCAGGGAAAGCAAAGCGCTGAGTTGGAAGCTGGTCATTTTTTTTTTATTATTATTATTTTTTTCCTATTTTTCCCTTTTTTTTTTTTTTTTTTCCATGCTGGCAGCCCCACGCCATGCCCTCCCGGCTTCCACGCACATCAGCACCGTGTTGGCGACTGCGTGCTCGTACGGTGGGCAGCAATCTGCCAGCTGGGACCACACCGGGGTGGGGGGGACACAGACAACGAGCAGGGCACGTCCCCAACCCCAACCCCAACCCCAACCCCAACCCCAACCCCAACCCCAACCAGCAGTGCCGGGGTGGGGACCCTACAACATCCCCACACCCCTACACGCAGCCCCACGTCCTTGGCATCCCCCAGCCCCCCCAAAACACCGTCCCCAGCTCCGTGCCCACCCCGTGAGGCTGCTGTGCTCTCGCTGCCGGGGGGCCGGGTTTCTTTTTGGCTGTGTTGATGCTAAATCAGGCGTGAGGCCAGAGTCCCGGCGGCGGCGACCGCGCCAGGTTACCGGCGGAGCAAGGGGGCCGTCTCCACCTGGCCCTCGCCATCCACAGGGTGATTAAACACGGGGCTCCCAGCTGCCATACATTTTTAAATAAATGAATAATACATCGCGGGGTGATAAATAAATAACGGCCACACATTTGAACTTAGCCTCTGAGAAAATCCTTTTAGTTCAAAAGGACCGGGGCGCTTGGAAAGGGGAGCCCATGCATTTTGAATGGGGCTGCCATCAAGTGTCAGGGCTTGGCAAGGGAGACGAGGGGGGAGGGACGAAACCGGCTCGGATGCAAAAGGTGGGGGGGGGGGACAGGGACGGGGACGGGGTCCTTGGGCATCGCCAGAGGCAGCTTTTGGTGGGAGCGGGCACGACGGCTGCTGTGAGAGCCACACATCCCTCCCATCCATCTGAGGGCATCAGGAAGGAGGAGGAGGAGGATGAAGAGTGCCAGGAGGCAGAGCAGCCCCAGAAATGGCAAGCGGAGCACAAGAGGGGCAGGGCTGGTCCCGCAAACCCCGGCTGCGGGAAGGAGGAGTCCCCGTTTAGCAGAGCAAAGGCAGCGTTTACTTAGCAGTGGCCCTATAAAGAGGTGGGTGGCCCTGGAAGGAGGCCCAGGCAAATACAAGGGGATTAGACAAGCACAAGGTGTGAGCGGAGGGGAGAAGGGGAGGAGGACGCACGGGGAAAGCCAGTGGCCAAGTGCAGGGCATCACCCAGCTCCTGAAGGAGGAGAGGGTGGCGAGGCAGAGGAGGGTGGGAGCTGGATAAGGGATCCACATCATCCTGTGCTGGGGGGAAATTCATGTCAGAGAGGAGCTGGGATAGCTCTGAGGCTGCACCAAGCCCCTGCACGGGGCAGCTGGGGGCACGCACCTGCCCTAAATCGTGACCCCACCACACATGGCCGTGCGTATCCATGGCTTGGCCATGCCCAGCCACGCACACACGTGTCCCTGCCATGCACACACATGTCCCTGCCATGCACACACATGTCCCTGCCATGCACACACATGTCCCAGGGCAGGGGACGGGGCCAGGCACGAGCTGCCCGGCCAGCACCCCGTTCCCTCGCCCTTCACAAAGCTCGAGAGCCGCGGAGCCAACTTGAATTCTTTGCGCCAACCGCTCCCACTCGCTTGCATCGCTAAGTGGCTATTGATTTATTAGGCTGTAATTTAAGGCAGAACGTTTTCAAATGAACTCACACACCAAGCCCGAGCACGAGAATAAACAAGGCCTGATTTATTTGATGCCCGTCTCTCGGAGGAGACCGGGCACTGCGGGGTGAGGGAGGACAAGGGGCCGGGAAAGCCCCCGGCACACGCGGAGAACCCCAGGACGCACTCATCCAGCACCCAGGGATGGGTGCAAGGAATAAAAACGGGGACAAGGAGAGAATCTGGGCAGCACGGGGACGTTGCACGTGCCCCGCCAGGTCCCATCTGCGGGACGCATTCCTGCGAGGCAGCCCCGGCGCGGCCGCGCAGCAGCTGCCGGCCAGATCCCGGCGGCGACGGCGGCGGCGCGGGCTCCTCTTGACCTTGCCGGTCAGGTGCTGGGCAGGGGTTGGGGAGGGATGGAGGGG